GAAATGATGAAAAACCACTGGATTCGGGGGTGCCCTAACTTCAAACGAAACCATGTGATTATTCGCTGATGTTGTCATGGTTTGATATTGAAATATACTGAATATATGATTGCTACTGCTATATTTTTTGACAGCATATGTTTTGAAAAATCAATCATGTTTTGGTGAGAATTTGCACAGGTCTTGCGTTTTAACTGGTGGCTTGTGTTTTATGGATTGGGCTCCCCCAAATAGGCACCAAACTCTGCATTTTGGACCAAAGAGAAACCATGCCATTCTCATGGATTCATGGCTCACAGGTGGAACAAAAAAGATAAACCACAAGGCAATGCAAGTTTGAGTCACCTTAGTTATCATACATGTTACATATATATAACTATAACTTGTAACCAGGTAATTCATTTTTTTACTACATATATACTTACTACATACTTAGCTCAAACCAACCCATCCAAGATTCAAAAGTCAAATCATTGTCATTGTCATAGAAGGCTGGGAAAATTTTAAAATTCCAAAAAGGCTGGTAAAGATAGCATTATGGATTCCCTTAAACGATTTGTTTTTTTTCAAATAAGAAAATTTTAAAATTCAAAAAAGGCTGGGAGAAGATAGGGTTATGGATTCCCTTATTTGTTTTTTTTCAAATAAGAAATTGAAAAATTGAAAAAAGACTAGTTTTTTTTTAGGAATCTCTTAAACGATTTTTTCTCAAATAAGCAAATTTGAAACTTCAAAAAAGGCTAGGAGAAGATAGGATTATGGATTCCCTTATTATGCCCTTATTTGTTGTTTTTTTTCAAATAAGAACTTTGAAAACAACTAGGATTTTATATGCATCTCTTAAACGATTTTTCTCAAATAAGCAAATTTGAAAATTCAAAAAAGGCTAGGAGAAGATAGGATTATGGATTCCCTTAAACGTTTTTTTCAAATAAGAAAATTTTAAAATTCAAAAAAGGCTGGGGGAAGATAGGATTATGGATTCCCTTAAACGATTTTTGTTTACCTAATAAAATTTTAAAATTCAAAAAAGGCTGGGAGAAGATAGGATTATGGATTCCATTATTTGTTTTTTTTCAAATAAAACAATTGTGTTTTTTTTAAAGACTATGGTTTTATATGAATCTCTTAAACGATTTTTTCTCAAATAAGCAAATTTGAAAATTAAAAAAAGGCTGGGAGAAGACAAGATAGGATTATGTTTCCTTAAACGTTTTTTTTCAAATAAGAAAAAAAACATTCAAAAAAGGCTGGGAGAAGATTGCCTTATTTTTTTTTATCAAACACATATCAAATCAAAATAAGAAAATGATTCAAAAAAACTGTAGGTAGAATAGAGTCAGAGAGATTGGTATTGTTTTTGTTTATATATTTAAACTAAATTAAATAGTAAAAAAAGGAAAATTAAAAAAAAATGTAACCAAAACATGTTAAACAATAAAAAAAACAATAGAAACCAGTTTGGAAGCAAATTTGATGAAAGAACCAATGTCAGCCTTGTTTTTTTGAAGTTGATTGAAATTGATTGTGATTTTTTTTGACCAGAACTTAAAACACAAGCAAAAAGCTTAAACGATTTTTTTTTATTTTCAAATAAGCTTATTAGATTTTTTTTGTGGCTTGTGTCCCCTGGATTTTGTTTTTTTTTTTGTGTTTCTGATCGAAAAAAACAAATTGTGGGGGACACAAACCAATTATAATCAATTTCTGTCCCCCAAAATTTGTTTTTTTCTGATCAGAAACACCAAAAAAAAACAAAATCCAGGGGACACAAGCCACAAAAAAAATCAAATAAGCTTATTTGAAAATAAAAAAAATCGTTTAAGCTTTTTGCTTGTGTTTTAAGTTCTGGTCAAAAAAATCAATAATCAACTTCAATCAACGTCAAAAAAAACAAGGCTGACATTGGTTCTTTCATCAAATTTGCTTCCAAACTGGTTTCTATTGTTTTTTTGTTTTTTATTGTTTAACATGTTTTGGTTACATTTTTTTTTTATTTTCCTTTTTTTACTATTTAATTTAGTTTAAATATATAAACAAAAACAATACCAATCTCTCTGACTCTATTCTACCTACAGTTTTTTTGAATCATTTTCTTATTTTGATTTGATATGTGTTTGATAAAAAAAATAAGGCAATCTTCTCCCAGCCTTTTTTGAATGTTTTTTTTCTTATTTGAAAAAAAACGTTTAAGGAAACATAATCCTATCTTGTCTTCTCCCAGCCTTTTTTAATTTTCAAATTTTCTTATTTGAAAAAAAAATCAAATAAGGGAACCCTCCTATCTTCTCCCAGCCTTTTTTGAATTTTAAAATTTTCTTAGGTAAAAATAAATCGTTTAAGGGAATCCATAATCCTATCTTCCCCCAGCATTTTTTGAATTTTAAAATTTTCTTATTTGAAAAAAAACGTTTAAGGGAATCTACAATCCTATCTTCTCCTAGCCTTTTTTGAATTTTCAAATTTGCTTATTTGAGAAAAAAATCGTTTAAGAGATTCATATAAAACCATAGTTTTTAAAAAAAACACAATTGTTTTATTTGAAAAAACAAATAAGGGAAACCATAATCCTATCTTCTCCCAGCCTTTTTTGAATTTTAAAATTGTATTAGGTAAACAAAAATCGTTTAAGGGAATCCATAATCCTCTTTTCCCCCAGCCTTTTTTGAATTTTAAAATGTTCTTATTAAAAAAAAAACGTTTAAGGGAATCCATAATCCTATCTTCTCCTAGCCTTTTTTGAATTTTCACATTTGCTTATTTGAGAAAAATCGTTTAAGAGATTCATATAAAATCCTAGTTGTTTTCAAAGTTCTTATTTGAAAAAAAACAACAAATAAGGGCATAATAAGGGAATCCATAATCCTATCTTCTCCTCGCCTTTTTTGAAGTTTCAAATTTGCTTATTTGAGAAAAAATCGTTTAAGAGATTCCTTTCAAAAAAAACCTAGTTTTTTTTTAAAATCAATTTTCTTATTTGAAAAAAAACAAATAAGGGAATCCATAACCCCATCTTCTCCCAGCCTTTTTTGAATTTTAAAATTTTCTTATTTGAAAAAAACGTCTAAGGGAATCCATAATCCTATCTTTTCCCAACCAGGATGTTAGCACAGGACACGCATGCACCAAAAACAGCGCACGGCGCACAGTGGGGAAAAAAGGCCAGCAGCATCAATTTGGAAGAACTGGGTTCCATGTGTTTTTTTCTGTTTTGGAACTTGCGCAATAATAAAACACAAGGGCAAACTTATACCGCAAGCAAAACAGCTACCTGTGAAAATTGACATGTTTTGGTATGTTTTTCGAAGTTGAGGTGTCCTTGAGGACACCAAATGCCCTCCAAAATCCAAGTATTTATGACTATAATTGTCCAATGTTGTCCATATATCCCAGTTTATTCCCATTATTTTCCCACGATATCCCCACAAAGTGGAGCCCAAACGATAGCTAAACTCCAATATCCTATAGTTGATTTTGATGGATTTTGGTGGCTTATAAACCAACATTTACAGAACTCAACGGCTACACCGTGTCTGTGCAGACCCCTTGTCGGTACCCGAGGCTTCCCTGGAATGTCCCAGAATCGGCAGCTCAAGAGCTCTTCGAGAGGCTGGAATCACCGGCATCAACGGGCACTGTAAATTTAGAATTTGGGGGTTTCCATAAATGGGGGTACCCCAATAGCTGGATGGTTTATAAGGGAAAAATCATGAAAATTCCAAACCAAAATGGATGATTTGAAGATTTGAAGGTACCCCCATTTCAGGAAACCTCCATATTACTGCAGGTCCATACTACATTCAAAGCCCTTTACCAGTTATATATAAATGGTTATATGTAAACGGGGTCATTCCATAACTGGTAAAGGGCCATAACTCTAGGTGCATGTTTGTTACTGATAGTGGGATGACTGTGATGCTAAATAGGCATCTTGTCAGGCCATGGTTTATGGTCTGGTTGGCCATTTGAAACTGAGCCAATCTTTTTATGCCCGGAGAATAGATTTGCGCGTAGAGTCAATGACTTGGTATACCGCATGACTCACATTACATCATATGTTGTTTGATAGACCAAGCATGTGTTGGTCATTGTGTCCGAGTCCCCGTGTTATACACTCCCAAAGTTCAAAGCGGGACCGTGAAAATTGGTTTCTGAAATTTCACCCTTCTGGCCATGTCGATCCATATCAAACTGACAGGTAATAGTATCAGGGTGGTGTAGTTTATCCCAATTTGACAGGGTAGTAGACCTGGTCAAGTCCCTTTGAGCTTCTCACCCAAGAAAGAAAAGTGTTTCCAAGATGTTATACATGAATATAGATGATACTGATATTTACAGGTTTCCATGTTCTATTCGGCATGCCTTTGTGGAGTTGCCAAGTGAGCGGGTGCGTTCGAACCTCAGTTACTTAACGTCGTTTCTACTTTTACAATGGCCATAACTATGGGTCAATCCCCTATAGTTGCAGGTACCTATTTCATCAGAATCTAGTTTGTTATCCATTGTATCTGATATATCTCTATGAAATTGCTGGTTAGATTACCGTCCATGTTTTCCATTCGGAAAGCGAGGGTTTACATGAATGGGATGACTGCTGCTCTGATGGCATGTCATATACAATTCAAACAGACATGGATTTTCCACAGTGTGACCGGGGTTTTCCGAGGTTTCATTGTTGTCCAATTGGGGGTGCAGTTCCATTGACTTTAAGTGGATATGTAGCCAATATCCATAGAGGGGTTGCTTTCCAACGGGGGCTACTTCACCATGGTTCTAGCCATTATTCACCCACACCTCAAGTCGGAGCGTTGGGTATTTCACCTCTTGAAGATTGGTTCTATCTAGCCTCTGGTAAACTGACATAGCTATGGAAAATCACCATTTATAGTGAGTTTTCCCATTAAAAATTGTGATTTTCCATAGTTATGTAAACGTTTACCAGAGGGTAGCCATTCAATTCATTAATCACCCCACACCCCCTAAATTCAGATTGGAGGCCCATGACATTTTCTCCCCAGCGCCGTCACAGATACATCCAGCGTGTGCCCGAAGATTTGGTGCAGAACACCGACACCTGGCAAGCATTGGCGGCAAGCCTGCAAGGTGCGGTGACAGGAAACCACGCACTGAAACGAAACGAGACATATTCGTGGAGGGGAGCTTTCTCGAATTTAAAAAGGTTTCTTTTTGGGACACTTATGTGTTCCTTGGATTTTTTTCGTGTGTTTGTTTTTTTGGTTTAAATTCTTTGGATCATGTTCATTCGAATACAGTAACTTGAATGTAGACTTCTTTTGAAAATACGCGAAAACCTAAAGGATGATACCGGAGATTATGGACCAACTGTAGTCACTACAGCATCCCCCAAGAAAAGCGTGGTTTTTCTGAAATTTGGTTAATATTCTGTTTTTTGGATGATGTTTTTTATATCAATCAAAGTCTCTTTATCACCCTCTGGTAAACGTTTGAATAACTATGGAAAATCACCATTTTTAATGGGTAAATCAACGATTTCCATCGCCATTTTCAATACCAGAGGGTCCCTGTCTCTCTATGGAGCTGGCCACTGGGATGGTGGCGTGGATCTTGGAGCTCGCATCCGATATCCACATTCGGTGCCTGTGAAACGGCACCGATGTCAGTAAGTTACCCAATTGATGGCGGCGTATAGTTATAAGATGTTATAAGTATAAGTTATAACCCCATAAAAATGCACTCAATATATATATATATATAAACAACTATTCTTAAGAAATATCTTAAGTCATATTGAATGGTGCATCAAGGACGATGTTCACTTAAATCAGCTATGCCAGCTATGCAGGTTAAACGACCAAATTGAAGGCCAAATTGAGTCAGCGATCATCGGGTGGAGCCCATGGGCGATCGACAGGGTCTCACTTCAGCTCAACGCACGAAACGATCCTGGGTGGCCCACGGGTGACCGTCGGGGAGCCATACACAGCCCTTGAGCGACTTTCGAGCAAAGGTTTATGGCAAATTCTGGGGCCATGGAAGCATTCCTCTACGTCCCTTTCAGTGGTAGAGTGGCTACGGACGCGCTGTGAAGAAGAATCTCATCAAAGTTAAGACAACGGGTATTTCCCAGATTCGAAATCCGAAGTATCCCGCCAAAATTTCCTTCAGGCCGACCCAATGAGGCTTGGCCTGGTGGATCATAGCTCAATGGTTCGGATCAAGGTATAGGTACCCATGAGGATTATTTGCCTCGCAAGGAATCCGGCTGTGTAGCCCTGTCAAATCCCCATGTTTCCATATGTTTCCTGATTATGTGGGTCGATTACCAACCCCCCATTTTTTGGTGGTCCAACACCTACCAAAAAGGACCCCTGGTCGCAGGAAGTGGCAACGACCCACGTCCTGTCAGGGGTGACTTGGCGTAAAACATCCGGTGATTCTGATTGGGCGGTTTGATAAACAAGAAAGGTGGGGTACAAAAAGAAGACATTCTGGGGATATAATTCGAGACACAGTATAATTATCATCCTGAAGTAGATAGAATATCAACATTTACAATAATATATTCCTACTGCTGTGAGGTTGTTTTTGAAATATCCGTATTATATCTAATGTCTGTTAATCTATCTATATATATATATTAATTGATATTAGGTGTGTCTGAAAAAAGGCCCGATACCAAGCAAATGGTGGCCATGAAATAGGTAACTGATTGGACTTTGGATATCCTACTAGGCAAACATTGATATCCCATTTGATATCCCATTGTGACATGAGGATGCTGATGGTAGAGGCAACTGTTTTTTTTGGCATCAGCATATATCAGCATAGTTGGGGATTCAAGCCACTAAAATTGGGCAACGTCAAGCATTCATAGCATTCTATGCCAAAAAAAGCCATGGCCAGGGCCCTGCCGCCTTGCCTCCTCCAGGTCCTTTGGCCTTGGAATTCTTTTGGCTGAAGTCTGGTCGCCCCAGTTGGTCCACAGTCCGATCATGTGGCGTGGGTTATCTAAAAAACGACCCGGCCTGGTAAACGTTTACAGTTTGCAACTGGAAAATAAGCATCTTAAATTTCTTAAATAGGTAAATCAACTATTTCTATGATTTTCTATGTGCCATTTTCAAGAGCTATTTTGACATAACCAGAGGGTAGAGATTTAGCCATCAACCATTGAGAATAGGGATACCATTCCTCTTTGATATTCATTGACTCAATTATGTCATAGCAAAACCGGTTGCTTTTTTAACTGCATATTTCTACCAAACTGAATTTTCCATTGACGGCTTGCTTGAAAAGGCCCTTTTGCCTGCATGATGTACAAACTTGGATATGTACCGTACACACTACATATAAATATATCCTTATAGCTCTTCAACCGCTGTAAGCCTCAAAACTAAGACAGACATAAACATAGTTTTGAAGTGACTCATGTTCTACATTATTCAATACATAAATCTTACCAAAAAGAAAACTCTCACAAAAACCAGGACTCATAATAAATTGGACTGATTGAACTTCCTGGTAGGGGGGGGGGTACTTTGGATTCTTATACAATAAACGGGAATCCCAGCCAAACCCAACCAGTCTCTTTGGGAGTGGCTACTGGAATGAGGCGGGAAACTCCATGGTCTTCAGTGTCCGAAGCATCCTTTCTTTTTGTGGCCTAAATTGGCAAAAACAATCCTTATGCGATATGCTGATATGCTTGAATTATATTGAATTATCATATCTTCAGTCAATGTTTAATATATTGAAACATGATGATAACATATATTAATATAATTAATTATCATATGTGAAACTTCATTATTCCAAATGTTTAGTTGCATACACGTAGTTGCTGGTTAAACAATATTGTTTCGGTGATTTGAGTTCCCCATTTCGATAAAATCACCAAGCATTGATCCCAAGTATATCCATCCCATGATATTCCGTTAAGCTCTGAAAACCAATTAAATCCAGTGAGCAACTTTATTTAAAAAAATGCAAACCACGTATCCCAAGATGATCTCCCATTAAAACCATATGAAAAACCCATTCAAACAGCCATTGTTTGGGTCATTTTTCGAGGCGCAAAGACCCGGACTCCGACGGCTTAACGCCCACGGCGGAGACGGCCGAGGGGCTCTGCGTCTTCCAGCTGCAGAGGCCCGCGGCAGTTGGATAGTGACACTGTGAAGCGAAAAATAGATCATGAAGCGAACAAGTTCTAGTTACTCAAGATGTGTTTTTTCAATGATAGTATAAGTACAACATATATATATACATATATAGTTATATCATGTTATATATATATACATATTGTTTTATCAATAGTTGGATAATGTTGGATGATTTTGGATATAAATATGAACCTATAGGACCTATGAAGGTCCAGTTATAAATAGTTATGATGTCAAGTTCGGATTAGTAAACCACTAGGGATCAATCAACCCCCGGGATTTAAAATCCGATCTCGCCATTAAGTAGAAGACTGGTCCCACCCGACCCCATAACAATTACACGTGTGTAGGGCAGCATCAAGTATGTGTGCAAGTGCAAGAGAAAAACTCATAGCATAGCAGCTGAACATGAAAGTTAATCCTCTCTCCCTACTACTCAAAACCCCCCCCGCACAAATAGTAAACACGGTGATCATCGGTGATCTATTTTTATTATTATAGGGGGATTTAGGTGGTATGTTATATTAGGGTGCCCGTAATATTCCAATATGAAAAACCCTAATAATTAAAATAAACAACTCGATTTCAAATTTGATTCAACCCCTTATTAAAATTTATATAAAATATTGCCAAAAACTTGATTTCGAAGCTTTCCCCTAATATTCCAATGAAAACCTTTAATAATTAAAACAAAACTCAATTTCACATGTGATGAAATCCCTTATAAAAAACCTATGACATATTGCCAAAAATTGGATTTCGCAGTTTTTCCCTAATAATAAATTTAAAACCTAAATAAAAAGAAACTAAAATTTTCGATTTCAAAATCAATTAAATTCCCTTTTATAATTGATTCTCAATTACGACAATTGAGAATCCAATTGTGGCCAACCCAAAAAAAAACGGAAGTGCCACACCAATCCTGTGTTTTTTTATTAGGGGGAGTTTTAGTAATAGGAAGAAGGGATTATTGTCCCAGCTCGCCCCTACCCCTCCCCACCTGAAGCCTGTAAAACCATGGGTAAAATCCACATCTTCGTGGCTTGGGAAAAACCCATCGCGTCATTCGGAGGGAACAACATTGGATAATAATGATAATATTTGCATGATAATTATTGGCTGCTGGTTAGTGGTTTGGAACATTTGGTTTATTTTTCCATATATATATAATATATATATATATTGGGAATCATCATCCCAACTGACTCATATTTTTCAGAGGGGTTGGTATACCACCAACCAGTATTGGTTGGGATGTCTTCAAAAATTAGAAAATGTTAGCAAAACTCGTTATTTTCATGCATTCTAACCACATATCACTCCGATGACGAGCCCCCAATCAGCACCGCCCCAAGGAGCGGTGGCAAACCCGTTGGTCAGTTGCGTCATTTCTCGGTTCTCTCCATGGACATCTTCGAGGACGGGGCAACGGGTCAAGCAACTGGAAAATGAGCGGAACGCCATGGAGGTTTAGCTCATTGGGAAATGCATCGAACTATTGCTGGGGTGATGATGTTCCATGCTATGTTTGAGTACCAGAGGATATACTCTCTCTATATATATATATATATTATGTAAAATATAACGTGACTAATTATATAGCCTATAGCGTTTTGTCAGGGTATCCAAGATTGACGATATGAAGCGACATTTAGTCAAGGTTAGTTGAGGTTAGTCAATGAAAACATAAAAATGCATGTTTTCCAGTGGTAGCAGCTCATCAATGTGGACAAATCTTGGGTTTGCCGTGGATTATGTGGAGAATCCAGTGGAATTCTTGATGCTTGGAGATTCTCCACAGTTAGTCACTAGCTTATAACCCCAGTTATAACTTGCTATTATCTGATCTTATCAGGAGTAGTCCAGCTATATCTGAGGTGAACTAACCTACTTACTACTATTCTTAGGGATGAATATCCTCACCACATGGGGACAAAAACCCTGGTACCCTTGTTTTCGCAGCAAGGTAGTTAGGTGTTCCACAGGTGTTGACCCTTCCCAAAAATGAACATGTCGATTCGTCGATAGTCAATTTTTCAGAGCCAAAGACACGCGGCATGCTCCCACAAGATCACGACCTCATGACAGGGAGTCGTGAACCTGGTATACGACATGGCAAGGAGGAAATCTATATAATGCCAACAAAGACTGCAAGGTCAATTTCCCAGATGTGATGCTCAATTCCAGAGCTTCTTGTCTATAATCTGTCATAATCTGTCTATACATTATACATCATTATACTACACTCCTTGTTTTTGGAACTTGCTTATGATTGGTCCTACAGGGGCAGGATGCCATCTACTTGGCTGCCGCCTGCTTCAAGTCTGCCACGATCTGCCGTGTTTCCATCGTCGAATGCAGACGCTGACAGGGGCGATTGGTGATGGGGCTGCCCGAAACTGCTAGGGGCAGCAATCTTAGAACACTGGAGAGACAGGAAATGCAGAGGGGACGACATCGATTGGCCGGGCATGGGCTGTTCTGAGGGGTAAGTATCAGATGCAATCCGACAGATTTACTTCCTTCCCTTACCACAATTGGAGACTTGACGTCGTTGTTTGGCTATGTTTGCGCCTGCTTTTATGAATTTTATCTTGTTCAACCGGGACCTGATCTACTAAGGGTGTTTTTTCTGATGCATTGCCAAGGCTAGATAGCAGCGTTAGACCCAAAGAAAGTGTTGTGTATAGGACAACAAACCTGCGCTTGCTGTATCCTTCCTGTATCTACTGAATAGTGGTTCCACTTCCATGACCGCCATGCTCTTGTTGCTTGAATCCCCTTTTTGTTGGGTTCAAGTTCACATGTTCATTTGTTTTCAACCCCCATTGTTTTGGTTGCTTTAAGTAGCATTGCTTGATGGTTGAATCCACGTGTTTGGTGATTCACTGTTCATGTTCGTTGCTAAAATAGACCTGGTAGGATATAACAAAGCTCCGTTTTGGTGTGGTTCAATCTTTGATGGTTAAATCACCCAAATAGATGCAGCCGTTCCTTCTCAGGAAACATGATTGGGGTATGATACGGTATGGTTATGGGCTTAGCCGTATACAGTTGTTAGCTATGTCCTATTATCTTTTGCAATGATATCATATCCCACTATTATGATGTCATGATCAATCCAAGTTTTTCTCGGTTTACTGCAATTTTTTCTTTTCGCTTTCCCTGCAGGAGGCACTGACGTCGGTGAAGAACTTGATGTTCCTGGTTGTTTTTTATTTGTTGGAATGATCCTGCGTCCACAACTGCCATGGGTTCTGGGTAATAGCGATTAATACTGGTACTGTAAGCTTGGAACTCAGGTGGTTCTTCACTTGGATGATCTTGGATGTTGCTGGAAATTGGGTTTTAGTATATTTCGATTGAATGACAGTTTTTGTGTCGGCCCTGTGCAAATGACCACCCATGGTGTACAAAGAAGGCCTCCTCTCTCAAAGCGCTGTAATAGGTTCATATTTGGCAACGGTCCAAAAGGCGGCTCAAGTTGCCCTCTGGTAATTTAACATAGCTATATTATATGACATCGCTATTGAACATGGCCGCATTTTGAGATCATTTGCCCATCGCAATTAGTGATGTTCCATGACTATGTTGAGTTAAAAGAGGGTGAAACCCCACTCTATGATCCAAGAATCCGCAGTGTTGAGGAAGTCCCCACTGTCCCATAATAATAAGCTTCCTGGAAACGAAGAAGTAATCTATGATATCCATCTAACAATATTGGGTAAACAGTGAATAGTTACAATATGTTACTATCAATCGCTGCCCTTTGTGAAATTCCAAGTGGGGCGACCCGGCCCAGCTTGAACCCGATGTTTTCTGGGGATAGAAGTTTAAACCCAGCTGAGATGGTGTTATGATAATTTGTTCAGACCCGCCAAAAAGTTATCGGCTCAATATGGTAGGAAGTATATAGCAAGAAATGATTTTCTCAGTGACATGGCGTGTCATGGTCTGCAAGTCCAATTTTCGCACAAAAACATGGCTGCGAAGATAGGTTTGGTGCGTATCATACCAACATCCACTTAAGTTGATCATCATTCTTCCCCTTCAAAGGTCATTTCATGCTGATTTGATCTAATGGACGTTAAAGGTATATTATATCTGGTTGGTGGTTTCAAACATGTTTTTCCATATATTGGAAATCATCATCCCAACTGACTTTCACTCCATCATTTTTCAGAGGGGTAGGTCAACCACCAACCAGTTATAAGTCATTAACCATCATTAACCCAAATAATAACAATATGTTAACCATTATTAACAGTATATGTTTACCAGAGGGTATGATGGGGATACTATGGTATTAACCACTACCCAGCAATGATATGCCCCATTTCTATACCGTGACCATCGCCGCGGGAAGGCGTCCTCGCATGTCCTCGGCGTCCGTTACGCCCAAGGTTTGCTCGGCTGCCTGTGATGTCAATCAGATATGTGATTTGGTCGAGGCCTCAGGTGGATCCCGGGAAAACATGGGAAAAGCCGATATCTTGGGGTTGTTGTGGCAGGTGATTTTGTTGATCTTCCTGGGAAATCCGCCATGACTGGGGACATCTATATGGACCATGACCATTTTCCATAGCTATGTTGAATTACGAGAGTGTATAACATGTTTTGGGAACACAGCATAGGGATTTAATGGGATGTATAGGCAGCAATATGATATTTTATTAGAATTTAACAGGGATTCATAGGGTCATAAGTTTTTTGTTGACCAGTACGGACATATCATTTAGAAATTGTGGTTGATCATTATTGTAGGATTACAGTGCCTACTGCCTTCGGTAGGAGACTTGGGGATAGTCCATGCCAATTGCACCATGGTTGAAAAATCATGATTCCGTTACATGTCCCTTTAAAAAAGTGACCTTTCAAACATTACCCTCGAGCAAACTAACATAACTATATGGAAAATCACCCTTTTTAATGGGCAAACGGGTAAACCAACTATTTCTATGGCCATTTTCAATAGCTACGTTAGTTTACCAGGCCGGGAAAATTCCTAGATCAGATCAATCCATGAATTTGGCGCTGCTTTCTCGAGACGAGGGGGTCCAGAAGCGGGGGACGACCAAGCGTTTCTTGCTGGTGTTTTGTGAGGACACAAAAGGGGATATTAGTGACGGGATAATAAATATGATATATATATATATATATATGATATATATATATATATATATGGTAGTACGACCTCGTTGCTAAAGATGAACAGTTGACAGCCCGAGTGTCTGTAGTTTCGGCTTAAGGGAATGAGTGTGGAGGGACACCCCCTACTGGCCTGTACGTGTGTGCTCTGCCACACGTGGAGGCGGGTGGGGTACCTCCTGGTAGCTCCCGGACGGTCGGAGCAATTTCGATTTGCGGCCCTGCAGCGTTTGCGTTTCTTGCATTCTGAGCTGCTGGACTTGGCCGACGGTGTACCAGAGGGTCCTCCTGTGGCAGTGGGAGCGCCCCTGGTACCCTCCCGAGCGGGGGAGGAGCTTCCATCAGAGGAGGCACGCGCCTTGGCAGAGGCGAGTTCAAAGGCCGGCCCCCTGGCACCCCCTGCAGGGCTCAAGGCTGGCATTGAGGAGAAGAAAGAGTCACCCATAGAAGGAGTTGAGAGAGAGGGCGCTGCAGAGGCATCATCGGAGCTGAAGGCACAGGGGAAAGAGGCAGACCATAAGAAAGACAAAAAGTCCAAGAAGAGCGAAAAGAAAAAGAACAAGGACAAGAAAAAGAGGCGAGAAAAATCGCCTAGTGAAAAGAAGGCAGATAGAGCGTCACGGTCGGAGGCTGGCGTTAAAGAGGAAGAGCCAGACTACTCTGACGGTACGGGCTTAGACGCCCCTCACAAAAGCCCTAGTCCAAAGTCAGAGCCCAAGGAGAAGAGACCCAGTCCGAGTTCAAGGCAAGCAGAAAAAACTCCCGAGAGAGGGAGTCGCCGGGAAAAGAGTTCCCCAGAAAGGACTGAGAGGAGGAAGGTCGTTTCTCCTGAGCGGAGGAGATCTAAGAGGGAAGAATCTCCCGAGAGAGGGAGGAGAAGAGAAGGCAGGGAGTCTCCTGAGAGTGGGAGAGCAAGAAGAGAAGGAAAGGCATCTAGAAGGTCAGAGAGGGACGGTAGCCGGGCTCCTGAGAGGAGGGAGCGTGAGTCTCCAGGGCCAAAGCGAGAAGACAGGCCGAGGAGACGTGCAGAGGAGACGCCTTCACCCCGAAGAGATCGCAGGGAGAGGGCAAGGTCTAGTGGCCACCATAGACGCTCTGGAGGGCACTTGCCTCCTCCTGAGCCGGCAGTGCCACCAAGGCAAAAAGCTCCTGCAGGTCCACCTCCTGGTGAGTTTGGTGGCCCCTCGCCTTTTTGGGGACCAAGGCCAACTTGGGAGCAAAAGTCCAAGGGCAGGAAGAGAAGAGAGCGAAACGCAGATATCTGGGTGTACGGCCTTGACGAGTCAAGGAAGTTTCAGAGAAAGGACAGAGGTGGATGAGCCGGAGGAGGCCAGCGGCGGCAGCTGTTCCGAGGAGACGGCCAGCATCAAGTGTTGAAGACCCTCCCGGTCGTGGGAGGAGAAGGGAAGACATTGCGGAGCTCTACACAAAGGGGGAGCCTATCGATTCTCATCTGGCTCCGCTTACGCTGCTGGAAAGGGGTCATTGGCTGGTGTCTGAAAAAAGCACTTATTTTGAAGAGGAGTGCAAGTGGGCTGGAAAGGTGGTTAGGGTCACTTTGGAAGGCGGTGAGGCTGAAGTTCAAGTGCAGTTGACAGGGACCCAGTGTGAGTCTCTTTTGAAGTATGCTTCAGGTCAAAACCCTGCCGTGATCCGGGCTCACCTTTGTAAGCCGGGCTGTGACCAGAAACGGGTTAACCCGGACTTAGTGCACCTCAGGTCTTTCAGGAGGTTGGAGGACGCTGCTGAGAAGTCGTGGGAAGTCAATTTGGTTTCCGTCGACGAGAACGAGCCCCTGAGAAGAGCAGAGGAAGCATGGAGCAGGAGGCAAAACGAAGGAGACGCGAGGAAAGAGGCTTCGTCGGTGTCATCAAGCAGTCGAAAAAAGAAAAAGAAGAAGAAAAAAGAGAAGAAAAAAGCAGGCGAGGAGAAGGCCAAAAAAGAATTGAAGGTTGGGGGCAAGGCTCTGGCAAAGAAAGAGCTGAAGGCTCTTTACCAAGGAACGGGCCTAGATCCCGATGTGGCGACGAGAAGGAAAGTGGTAAAGAAAGTGAAAAGGAGGTTGAAAAAAGCGAGGCCCTCGTCCAGTTCGAGCAGCAGCGGGTCGTCTACAAGCTCAGCCCAAGGGTTGGAGGACGAGATCTTGGAAGACAGGTCCAAGATCCAACGTATAGCAGTGGCTGGGCCAGGGATTCTGGCCGCGGCAGCGGTACAGAATATGAAACAGTTTGTGATGCAGAGCGGTGGTTCAACGTGGGCCATCGACGAGGACAGTCTGCCCCCTGTGATGGGGCAATATGCCCGGCAGCACCTAGCTCACAGGACTTCAGGCGGCATCCTGCGGGAGGTCATGTCGTTGAGTTTTGTGGGGGACCTCCTCTTGCAAGGACGCGCAGCGGAAGCTCTCGATGGAGTAGCCCAGCGATTAAAAGGGCTGGAGCTCCTGATCAGCGGGCAGCCGTGGGCTACGGCCCAACGTGTGGAGATTACACCCCCACTGGAAGCAGCTATCTCCAGCCGTGCGGAGATCCAAGTTGCGATGCGGGAATCGAAACTCGACTCGCAAGCCCGGGGGGGGTCAAAGCTCCTGGGAGAAGGGGCGTGGAAAAAGCAAGAGCAAAGACAAAGACAAAGGGAAAGGAGAAAAGGGAAAAAGCAAAGGGCGAGAGGACGCCAAGAAAAGCTCCTGAGAGTGGGAGTTGAAAGCCGCCTGGTAAAAGCTCTGAGGAGAAGAAACAGGAAGAAAGAAAGGGAGACTCTCTCCTGCGGAAAAGTCCCGGAAGATGCCAAAGAGGAGAAGAAGAAGGGATTGGGCTCAGACTATGACGCATGGTCGCCTCGAAGAAAAAAGGAAGCCTTCGCCGATGGGAAGAGTGACTCTGGTGGAGTTGGAAAGCTCCTGCATAGTAGGTTTCACAGCACAGGGGGAGTGGCTGCCACCACTCCTGCAGATCTTTCGTGTACAGAATCTACACCGTCACCAGACAATAGTTTGGTTGAAGGAGTTGCAAGCGACTCAGGCTTGGGCCGAGTGTGCGCTGAAAAAAGTGAGGTGCGCCTGGAATCTGAGTCTTTGGGAATGGGGGAAGTTGGGACGTGGTTACAGGGTAGGATGGATGGTTTTCTAGATGTGCTCTGCAGGGTCAAGCCCTCGGGTAAAGTTTTCCCTTTACCTTCATCCCTCTCTACCCTGAACCTGATGTTCCCTTCTGAATCTCCCTGTGTTCTTGATTTGTTGAGGTCCCTAGTGTTGGCTCTGAATTCTTTGAATGGTGAGGGACTTGTGGCTAGTGGTGCACCTTCTCGTTTTCAACAAAGGATCCTTGCTAATTTGCTGATTGATTGTCGCAGAGTGGCGGCGTGGAACGAGCGGTCTCCTCCTGTCACGTGGGAGGAGTTCTTTAAAGTTAGAGGGATCGACTATAGAGGAGAGGAAGTGCTAACTGCTCAGCCCATTAGGTGGGAAAATGTTAGCCCAGCCTTGCCTGACGAAGTAGGCGGGGTGCCCTTGGAACAAGTGGTGGAATTGGGCTCCAGAGAGTACGTTGTTAATTTTTCAAAATATTTATTGGATCCCGCGGACCAAGTGTATACTAGGCCACCCAGAGTGATGGTCGCTCCTGAACATTGGGAGAATTTGTGCATGAAGCTCCTGCAAAAGGGGGTATTCAACCGGATTCATGAGGACGAAGTGTACAAAGTTCAGGACAAACTTGTCCTTAATGGTTTGTTCGGGGTGTCGAAGCATGAGTTTGAAGGACAGTTTGAAATCATGAGGATTATAATGAACCTCATCCCCGCCAATCGATTGTGTCGTGGCTTAGATAGCGACATTGCCACTCTGCCGTCGCTATCAAACATGTCACCCTTGTGCCTTATGCCGCACGAGAATTTGGTGGTATCTAGCGAAGATGTTAGATGCTTCTTCTACATTTTCAAACTACCACCATCGTGGTACCCCCTGATGGCTTTTAACAAGCCATTACCGGAGTCTCTGTGTGGCGACAAGCCAGGCCGATGGTACCCCTGCGCGGCTGTACTGCCGATGGGGTTTAAGAATAGTGTGTCTTTGGCCCAGCATATACATCGGTACATTGCAAAAAGGGCACTTGGTAGGACGGGATTAGGATCCCAACTGGAAATACGAAAGGACCGAACTTTCTCTGTGGGAAATCCGCTCTTCCGGATTTACCTTGACAACTTCGATGAACTGCAGCGGGTCTCAAAAGGGATGGCCGCAGCATTATCCGGTGCGGTATCGCCACTGGTTTCCAGCCTCAGGGAAGAATACACTCTGTTGGGCGTGCCCAGGCACCCAAAGAAAGCGGTTGCATCGCAGCTGCAAGCTGAGGTACAAGGTGCTTATTTTGATGGCGAAGAGGGTTTGGCTTTCCCTAAGCCTGAGAAAGTCATGCGCTATGCCTTGCTTACCGCTCGTCTTTTGGAGTCACAGGAGTGCACCCAAAAGCAAGCCCAAGTCGTGGGAGGAGGCCTGGTTTATCTGGCAATGTTCCGGAGGCCACTCCTGGGTAGCTTGAACTCTCTCTGGAATTTTATTTTAAGTTTTGAGGGTTACCCTCCGGTCATCCGGCTTCCCCTTCCAAAGGAAGTGAAGTTGGAATTGGCCCGTTTTCTAGGACTGATACCCCTGGCTTATATAGACTTCCGTTGTACAGTTTCAAAGGTTGTGACAGCTAGTGATGCTTCAAAGTCCGGAGGAGGTGTGACAGCATCCTCCCGTGTAACACCGGCTGGAAGCATTGCTGCCCAGTGCAGCATTCGAGGAGACGTCGTGGAGCCGATTGATATAACTCAGGTCCTCACCGTAGGACTCTTTGACGGAATTGCCGCAGTGCGGGTTGCCGCCGACACCCTGGGATGGAATGTCGTGGGGCATGTAGGGGTGGAGAAAGATGATCGTGCGGCCCGGGTCGTGGAGTCTCGTTTTCCAAACACAATCAGGGTGAAGGACATTGCCGATGTGGACGAAGCTATGGTTCAAGAGTGGGCCTTGAGATTTTCACAAGCTGGGTTGATCCTCATAGGCGCGGGTCCCCCGTGCCAGGGGGTGAGTGGCTTGAATGCTTCTCGAAAAGGGGCAATGAAGGATGCTCGTAGCTGCCTGTTTGTGCACGTCCCAAGGATCAGAGAACTGGTGAAAAAGGCCTTCCCGTGGGCACAAGTGCGCACGCTCATGGAATCGGTAGGGTCAATGGATGTGTCTGATCGGGATGTTATGTCTCAAAGCTTTGGTGAGGACCCGTGGGCAATTGACGCACTAGGAGTTTCCCTCGCTAGGCGGCCTCGTCTCTATTGGATGGACTGGGAGTTAGCTGGTAGTGAAGGAGCCTTGCTCAGTCGACTCTCTCAACCCCGTGCAGTTCAGCTGGAGGCGCACATTAGAGAGGAGGAGTTTTTGCTTCCAGGGTGGAGGAAAGCTTCAGACCTGCCTTTTCCCACATTTACAACTTCGCGCCCCAGGGCTAGCCCTGGGTATAAGCCCGCGGGTTTACATCAGTGTTCTGACGCCGATAAGGCAAGGTGGGTAACTGACAAGTTTCGGTTCCCGCCGTATCAATACCGGGCGGAACATTGTGTGTGTAACAGGGCAGGTACACTCCGTGTGCCGTCTGTGGAGGAACGGGAGGTGATCATGGGGTTCCCCAGAAACTACACCATGATGTGTTTGGCGAAACAACAACAAGGGAGCGAAGCTCACACTGATTGCAGACTGACCCTTTTGGGCAACTCGTGGAATGTCACGGTTGTCTCTTGGATTTTAAGTCAGCTAGGTACCTTGTTGGGGCTCAATCCTCCGCTGTCCATGCAACAAATCTTCGATCGTACCTCTCCGGGGTGTACGACAGATTTTCAAACTTTTCTACAGCGGCCGTTAATGAAACCCCAGCGAAAAATTCAAGGTTCGGGAAATGAAGAACGGTTGGTCAGTAAATTGCTGACCATGGTAAGTTTTAAAGGTGAAGATCTTCTGTTGCAATCTTCTTCGGAAGATCAAGTCAAATATCATCGCCTGAGGGCGAGCATCCCTTCTGGTTTGTGGGCCTGGAAAACCATCACAGGATGGAAATGGCGCGACTCAAATGAGCACATTAATGTGCTGGAGATGCGCGCCGTGCTCACTGCAATGCGCTGGAGAATTGAGAAACAGCAAGTTACTCGCTCCAAGTTTGTACACCTGCTGGACTCGATGGTATGTCTCCATGCCCTCAGCAGGGGTAGGTCCAGTAGCCGAAAATTGAAAAGGTCTCTGTTACGCATCAACTCCCTGCTTCTTGCCACCAATTGTCATGTGGTGTGGGCCTACGTTCACACCAAAGACAATCCTGCGGATGCTCCAAGTCGGCATCCCAGGAAAAGAAAATGGTCCCATGCCGAAAAGGCATCTTGAAGGGACAACGCAAGAAGCAAGGGCCAAGATGCGAAAAACTTTGGGACCATTGCGAGCATTGACTGTCCAACCAGTTACAAAAGCTCGATATCAAAAGGCACTGGATGATTTCTTCACTTATTTAAAAGATGAGAAACTGATTTTGCCACAGTCAGCAGCCCAGCTTGATCCTATTGTGGCAGACTATTTAGAGTTTCTTTGGGCCAAGGGTTCTGGACGTACTTGTGCGTCGAACATCTTGGCGGGCTTGCAAGACACCCAACCCCGTTTAAAGGGACGTTTACCGGAGAGTTGGCGTCTTTTGAAGGCTTGGGTGACCCACGAGGTCCCAAACCGGGCACCACCACTCCCATTAGAGATGCTGGAAGCCATGGTGGGCTATTTCATCTTCAAAGAAGATCATGGTTTCGCCCTTACCCTGCTACTGGGTTTTATGGTCTCCTGCGAACTGGAGAGTTGTTGTCCGTCAAAGGTTCTCATATTACTGTAAATAATCCTCGTGGTCCCGCAGTCATCTCGCTAGGCCTGACAAAGTCAGGTAAGCGGCAAGGGGCGGCGGAAAGTATAACTATCCATGTTGAAGAGGTGTGTAGACGACTTTTTCAATGGTGTACTACACAACCCAAACAGGTCACCTTGGGTGGCCCGTCACACATCTGGAGAAAGAAGTTCTCCGATGCTTTGAAAGCACTTTCATTTGACAAATGGGATTTTAGACCCTATTCCCTGCGCCGGGGTGGTGCAACTCATGCGTTCAGTCAGCATGGAGTATTTGATAAACTGCTGGTCGCTGGAAGATGGCAGTCACAAAAAACGGCTAGAATTTATGTCAATCAAGGCTTGGCGGTCCTCGCGGAGTTAAAAATTCCTTGGACTCCTTTTGCTAGAAACTTTCGTAGGCAGTACTTGAGTGGACTTAAACAACAATTGCCTCCACTTGAGCTCGTTTCACGTTGTTCACAGGTCAGGGGACGTCGGAAGAGCACCAGAAAAGAATGCACGAGAGTTGCATGTGGTGGGGTTAGACCCTCTCTTGTCTTGGGTTTGGCCGGACTTGAGGGGAAAAAACTTCGCATACCTTGGCTGGGGGTGTCCCTTGGGTTTGGCCGGGACCCTCTGGGGGTATGTAGGGAAGGTTTCCCTTTTGGGTGCTCAGTTGGGGTGTTTTTCCCATGTTTAATTTTCTTTAAGTTGACGATCCTGACCTTGCAGAGCAAAAAATGAGGGCGTGAGACAGGTGAATCTTTGGTAGTACGACCTCGTTGCTAAAGATGAACAGTTGACAGCCCGAGTGTCTGTAGTTTCGGCTTAAGGGCCCCCCCCATATTTTCCCCCCCTGAAGAGCACCAGAAAAGAATGCACGAGAGTTGCATGTGGTGGGGTTAGACCCTCTCTTGTCTTGGGTTTGGCCGGACTTGAGGGGAAAAAACTTCGCATACCTTGGCTGGGGGTGTCCCTTGGGTTTGGCCGGGACCCTCTGGGGGTATGTAGGGAAGGTTTCCCTTTTGGGTGCTCAGTTGGGGTGTTTTTCCCATGTTTAATTTTCTTTAAGTTGACGATCCTGACCTTGCAGAGCAAAAAATGAGGGCGTGAGACAGGTGAATCTTTATATATATCACCAAGTATAATCTTATCTGGTTGGTGGTTTGGAACATGAATTTTATTCTTCCATATATTGGGAATAATGATCCCAACTGACTAATATTTTTCAGATGGGTTGAAACCACCAACCAGTTATGTTTGGGATTGTGGAGTGTGTCTGAACATGGCCTGTATCCCCATAATGCCATGAACAAATTCAGACAGCACATAGACATGAAGCGACTCAACCCTCAAAAGCATGGCAAGATGAAGCAAGATACCAATCAACGAGTACATGGTCTTAAGCCACTTGGGTTACTTTCAGTTTTGCAATCAAAATCGAATGGAAATCTTTCTCAACAGAACAGTAGATGGGGCATGAAGAGATTTAATGAGGACATGATCATGAATCTATCGTGTGTCTGTGTCACATTGTCACATAGGGCGCAAGCAATGGGTTGAAGCATGGGCTCTACATGACCGTTGACATGACATGACTGCTTCCCTCCTCAAAAGCGACGTTTTTAAGCCCTGAAATACATTGAAATTTATCATCATTCTTCCAGGACATTCTTCCTGGAAATCCGTAAAAAACGCTTCCCTGTGGTTTTCCTTTGGTCCCAGATAGCTCGAAAGGACAAAAAATAGCCATGTCCCGCCCTGGGACGGACCATGGGGACATATGAGGACCATGGGATTGGGCAACTCAGTGCCCCCCAGCTTTAAGTGAAGTCTTGCACCCCCCTGAAAGTATATACACATCTATGTAATGTATATGATATTATATATATATATTATTAAATTTCACGAGCTCCTGGGATTTTGTCATTTTTAGGGAATATTGGATATCAAGGTCAAGATGCAATATTTGGTGCAGGGTACGCGCACAAGGGTGGCACCAAAAAACTTAAGCGTCATGGTTTGGACGGGTTTGCACTGGATCATCCTTCCATAAATGGAATTGGTCCAATTAATCGTTCAGAAAAAATGAAACGGTCGGAAACGGTCGGAAACAGTCGGAAACGGTCGGAAACATGATCAGGCCAAAACTTGTCCAACCCACATTTTTTAAAAAAGTAAGCATTTCCGCGCAACGCCGTTTTTTTTTTGAAGGTCCAAAGGCGTCCAAGGGGAAACGGTTGGAAACAGTCGGAGATCGCACCTTCGCTCGGCAAAAAAGTAGTTGTTTTGTAGCATATGTTCATGAAACATGTTTGAAAATTGTGCAAAAACATGTCTTTTTTGCCGAGCGAAGGTGCGATCTCCGACTGTTTCGACTGTTTCCAACCGTTTCCCCTTGGACGCCTTTGGACCTTCAAAAAAAAACGGCGTTGCGCGGAAATGCTTATTTTTTAAAAAATGCGGGTTGGACAAGTCTTGGCCTGATCATGTTTCCGACCGTTTCCGACCGTTTCCGACCGTTTCCGACTGTTTCCGACCGTTTCCGACCGTTTCATTTTTTCTGAACGATTAATTGGACCAATTCCATTTATGGAAGGCTGATCCAGCGCAAACCCGTGCAAACCATGACGCTTAAGTTTTTTGGTGCCACCCTTGTGCGCGTACACTGCACCAAATATTGCATCCTGACCTTGATATCCAATATTCCCTAAAAATGACAAAATCCCAGGAGCTCGTGAAATTTAATAATATATATATATATATATGTATAATATATGATATAAATATATAATTTGATATAATATATACTTCAAGAAAATCTCATATTTATATATATATATAATTATATATATATATTAACAATTTATAGACGTATGCAGACCACTCTCATAGCTAACCCTTTAGCCATTTGCTAGAGCTACTGTAACCATGGATGCCCATTTAATTCGCAGCATCCCGGGCTGCTTCACCCCGTGGATCGATGCAAAACCAACCGTGGGCCCGTGGGCCTGGACATAATTGGACGTATCATTGGCCTCTACCATCCGGTTTCACACTTTTTGGTGCTTCATAATCATAGACCCTTAGTTAACCCAAAAGAATCCGAAAGAGAATTCAGCTGGACGGGGATCTGCAAGTCAACTGTGGTGAGTTTTGAAGTCAGATTTGGGCAAAAAGAACTATGATTTGCAATGTTTTTTTTGGTTGTGTGTGTATGATGTTATTCCTTTGTATGTTTTCTTTTTTTTCGGGAACTGTAGTTTTTTTTTCTCCCAGGGAGTTTAAGTGTTCCACCAAATAACTTGGTATACTGTCATACCCTATTGTCAGACAAACCTTAGTATAGTTGGCAATTGGATTGTCACTGTAAATTTGATATTGATGCTAATGCCAAAAGGGGTACAGTAATTGGTTGTACTTGGTCTATTTAGTCGATTGTCAAAGCCTAATAATGGGCGCATGGATGCTATAGATTTGATCTGCAACTCGAAGAATGTCAGAGAACCTGTTCTGCATAGCTATGGAAAATCACCATGTTTGAAAGGTAAGTCATCTATAAATGGGCCATGTTTCATAGCCGTGTCACATTACTAGAGGGTATAAGGGTGTCAGTGCCCACGCAATGGCCCAAAAGTGATCCTGTCCTCTGACCAACGCCAGATGATGGCTAAAAAATCTGTTCGTTCCATCCGACCTGTGGACTGACAATTGCCCAAGATATTATCTCAGCGTTTTTCCCAAAACCTGTTAAACTCCGTTCATACTTGGAAGTACATCGTTATGGCATCTGCAGTTGAAAATATAGCGACTTCACTGGCCGAGGCCGCTTTTTTCAAGCAACATGTTGGCTATTTCTGATTTGTTAAAAAGTAACGTTTTGCCGAGATAAATGGTATATAATGTGGTAGAACCAATGTCATAAACCATCCCCAAATGACAATTTTTATTGCTGATATAAACAACCCCCAAATTGTTGTTGTTTACGGCATTGGGTTGCCCACATCAATGGGATATAGAATGTGGCATGGCTTTGTTTAAAGGATCTCTTTTTAACGACCACTCACGCGGGGGATTTACCTGATGAGCAGCGATGGTTTTGTTTGCCCATGAATACTACGCCCCAATTGGTCTATGCCAACTTTTCAATGGCTCGCTTTTAGAAGGCTGCGCAGCGCAGTCTTTGAGAACAATCCAGCAAGAGAATCCGGATTGAAGGTGGGAAAGTAGAACAACATTCTCGTCAGGCAGCGTATTGTCCTGTGTGTTTGTTGCGGCCCCTGTTTCCAAAGGTTAGTCAACATGATTTTCCTTTGGCAAGTGGACATTTGGACACACCATGAAGCACCCAAATCTTCAGATGCTCATGTTTGTCAAAAGTTCTCTGGGCAAGGTTTCCTCAAGTTCTCTGAAACAGATCTTGAGGGAACTACCTTCCAGCAATTAACTATGGCGATGGGAACCCCCCTATACATGGGAATGGTTGATTACCGGAGGGTATGGGAGATGATCTTGCAAAT